GCGTCTCTCCGCTCGACCATCCACCTTAGCCTGCAATTGGCGCAGCTGTTCCGCCATCCTCTCCATCTCTCGGTCATGTGTGGGCCCGCCTCCACCATAGCTGGATTCATCTTCCTCCGCATTTTGGCGTGACCCTGCAATAGTGTTCGGCGTTGCTGTAGCCCGAAAGAGACTGTTTGTGACTTGCTGAACTGCCTGGGCAGCTGCCTCCGCCACCATTTGTTGCATCTCCTGCCTGGTCATTATCACCTGCTGGTCGGGGACCTGAACCGCTTCTCGCGGCGGTGCTCCTCCTTGGGCCACCGCTCTTCCCGGTTGTACCCCCGTTCCTCCCGGTTGCGCCACCATCGCTCCCAGTTGCACTCCCTATCCCCCTAGTTGCGCTGCCGTTGAGCTTTGTGGTGGTGGTGGTGGCATCGCCACCGCATCCACTGCGCGAGCCTCCTGAGCACAGTTGGAGCCAGCGTTTCCTCCGGGAATCGCCGTTGCCGCTCCCACACCTTGGAGCACCAGTGCGGGAGTGATCGGCGTCTGTGATGGGCCAGAAAAACCCAGAGGAGGACCTTGTCCCAATGGCCTGGTCGTCGTCCAAGCATCATCGAACGTTGACTGTAAGCTTTTGGGAATTCCGTCTGCCATAGCTGAGCTTCAAGCACACCTTTTCAAACGAAAGTCCCCACAGACGGCGCCAAATGGTAACACAAAACTTCCCGACCGGCTGGAACTTGAATAATCGCCTTCCTTCTCGCCGGTTAAACGTCGTGCACCTACAAAGAACTCTCACACTGGAGGGGTTTTCCGGTGAAGAGCCTCCGAAGCTTAAGTCAGTGTATGTTCAATCAATTCTCAAGAGTAAGTGATAGAATGATCGTGTTGAAGAAGAGAAGCTCATCCCCTTTATATAGGGGTGAGATACCTGACCTAGGACTTGCCCGGATTTGATGAGCTGTCTGCCCTAACTGCCCGTCCGTACACACCATACGCGTGTGTCAGAGGTAGCCGTCGCCACTATCGCCTGCACCAATCCTCTTTGGACGCGTGTCCTCCTGCACATGGGGTAGGCTGTCAGAAGTGGTTATCGCTATCCACCACTGCCTCTTCGACGCGTGTCCCCCTGCACATGGGGTAGATATTCTCCTGGAATTCTGTTAGAGGCCCTCTCACGCGCTTATGACCAGGCCGATCCGCGTGGTGTTAAGTCCTTGAAATGGCCGACCCGTTGAGGTCGATCTGTTGAGGTCGAATAGGTTGCCCGGTCGTGTATCTGGTCGAGCGACGGGTTGCTCGATCGTCTTTCGGATCGCGCGACGGACTGGTCAACCATCTGCTTGGTCGACTGTCTGAATGATCGATCCTCTCGCTCCTTGTCTTGGTTTCCTTTTAGCTTGGCCCTCCCGACCGACTTAGCAGACCGGTTTAGCCTTGTGTATATAATATCCCATATCAATACATTAATTAAATAATAAAATAATTATTAGTTGACTCCGACGTTGACCGTTAACTTCAGGCGTTGACTTCCGGCGTTGACTGTTGCCCCTGGTTTACAGTATGTATGAAGTAAATATGCATCAAGTACCATGCATTTAATATGAACTAAATATGCACGGGGTATGAATTGCACATGTAGTCATTATGAACTAAATATGCACCAATAATATCAACTAAGTATACACCTGTTATTAATAAATATGCATCTGTTATGAACTAAATATGCATCATGAATGAACTAAATATGCATGGGGTATGAATTGCACATGCAGTCCTTATGAACTAAATATACACCAATAATATTAACTAAGTATGCACTTGTTATTAACTAAATATGCATATGTTATGAACTAAATATGCATCATGAATGAACTAAATATGTAACGAAAATATGCAATAAAATGTATGTTTTATATAGGTAAGTTATGATGCATATTTAAATAATCTATTATGCATATTTAGGTAATTTGTGATGCATATTTAGTTATTACGAAATGCATACTTGTAATATTTAAATTAAATATATAATGATGTTTATATAGTTAATTTATGATGCATATTTAGTTAATTCATGATACATATTTAGTTCTTACGAAATGCATATTAGTTCATGAACAGTGCATACCTAGTTTATTTGAGATCAAATCATAAAAATTAATTTGTGTTATTAATAAATTTAAAATTAAAATTAATTATATAATAAAAATTATTAATTATTATATTTAATTTAATTGTATAAAATGTATGTTTTATTGCATATTTTCGTTGCATATTAGTTCATTCATGATGCATATTTAGTTAGTAAAATGTACATATTTAGTACATAAGCAGTTCATACATAGTTGATATTATTGATGCATATTTAGTTAATAAGGATGACATATATAATTCATATCTTATGCATATTTAGTTCATATTAAGTGCATAGTATTGTATGCATATTTACTTCATATATAATGCATACTATGGGGTCAACGGGTCAACGCAGGAGTCAACGCCAGAAGTCAACAATTTTCGCTGGAAGTCAACAGTTAACGCCGGAGTCGACGGCAATGCAGGAGTCAATGGTCAATTGTCAAAATAATATTTAAATGATTAAAATAATAATAATAAAAAATTAAGTAATAAAAATAAAGAATTATTATTTAAATGAAGAGTCGAATCTTGGCCACACATCATGTAACAATCTAGTGACTAGGAATGAGTCTCACATGCACACTTTTAATATGTGTTCTCATTGGATCCAATCCCTATATATATATATATATATATATATATATTGTTCGCAGAAGAGAAAAGCTCTTTGTTTGTGGGAGAAAATCTTATGTGTTAGGGAAGATGAGAGTTTTTGGTCATCGGACTAAGACTAAAAGATTAACTTCTTTTTTTTTCTGTTCGCAAAAGTGAAGCAATTTTTGTGTGGTTGCGGGAAATAAATATTATTTGTCTTGTAAAAGAAGATACATGGGTAAAAGAAGATACATGGGAGGCGAAGATATATATAGAGAGAGAAAAAAGCAAGTCCTTTTTTTTTCTTGATTTATAGTTGAAGATACGGTCTTCTAATTAATTACTTCGTGTTTGTGATTACAAGTGTCCCATGTCGTATTATCAATATTATTTACCCAAACATGGGTAAGGAGTACAATTTTCTCGAGGGTCAAACTGCAGGATATCTTCTCGACCAAAATCTATAAAACTACTGGTTCTTGGCATAATAACAGAAAAACAAAATAACACACAGGTTTATCTCAATTAGTAAGGGATTATGCTCTTTGCTCTTTACCATCTTCATTTAATTTTAGAAATCACTTGTGTTCCAATTTAAAAATATATTTTGGAAGGGAAGGTGGGGAAATATATATAGTTTGCTCATCCACATTGTACCTAATGATTCGTCGATCGACGTTTCACTTGACTATAGTCGATTTTGCACAAATTTTTTCGTCGATGAAAGGAAAACAACAATCCACTTCACTCGGATTTCTTTCACAATCTATACAGAAAGTGAAAAAAAAAAAAAAAAA